TTATCCATTAGAATTCATGGCAAAATCTGCTGTACTAGATATTCTAAATATGTTTACATCCTAAAAAACTAGTTCAAAAGATGAAAAGTTGCTTTTAGTGTTTATTAATTGGTCTAATGTAAACAAACAACTTTAGCAATGGTTAAAAAAGGATGTCAGAACATATATATATATACATATATATATATATATATATATATATATATATATATATATATATATATATATATATATATATATATATATATATATATATAAATGTATATATAGCTCACATAAGCATTATATATGTTTATATAGATGTCAACATGTCAACGCTTGATCATCAGAACAAAAATCATGTTTGTGTTGGTTGTGGTTTGATATTTTAATAATTATGGAAGATTTTATTTAAGTTATATAATTTTGCAATAGCTAATCTAACTAATCAACGTCGAATTATATACATTGGATCAACATTGGGTTTAGATCGTAAAAACAATCAATTTTTTGCGATGTTTGACATACATTGGAATAACATTGATTTATATACATTGAATCGATGTCGAGATATATACATCGGATCAACGTTGGGTTCAGATAGAAAAAACAATAAACTTTTTTTAATGTTTTTACATACATTGGACCAATGTAAATTTGTCAGATCTTTTTAGTTCCGTTGGTAATAACTTCATCATTAATCAAATTACATTGGATCAACGTTGGTTTTGCATTGGAAAAAAGAGTTTGCGATGGTTTTACATACAATGGCCCAATGTAAGTGTGCTAGTTGGATTGTGGTCAAATTTTTGTTCTCTAAGTTAAGAAAAAATTCAAATTTTTTTGAGACAAACTGAATTTATGGTATACTAAATAGAAAAATAAAAAGTCTTCTAATAAATATTCCTTAAAAAACAAATAAAAAATTTTAATTTATTTTAATGTTAAAAATGAAAACAAAAAACAAACCTCTTGGTTTTTTCAGAAACAAAACTGGTTAACCTAGTTTATCAATTTTCAAATACATAATTCCATCTAACACAAATACAAACACAAGTACTTAAGAAAATTTATAATTAAATATAATACAAATACATAAATTTTTCCTATTTATACCAAATACAAATATATATTTTATTCTAACCCATGCTTTTGATCCCAGCAAACAATGTTTGTGGTTTCAAATAATGTTAATTACAAACTAGTGATTAGGCTACACTTGTTTTGAATCCAAAGAAGAGACTTCTTGCTTTTTGAAGCAAGAAGACCACTCAATTTTTTTTAAATTCGCTTTTACAACCCACACTCAATTGTATAACTTTAAAACTGAAACTTTAAGAAGCGGAAACAACTTGATGGCCTGAAATGAGTATTTCAAGCCAGGCAGTAGAGGTTTGATCATACTGTTAGTGTTAGTCGTAGAGTACTGGAAGTACAAAGAGAAAGCAATCTGTATGTGGTTGACCAGTACAAAACACAGATTTTATAGACCAGAGAAAGATTATTGATGTTTAAATTGATAAGTTCAAGCGGAAATAAGTAGTTTGCTTGATTATTCATTGCTTGCTATGTGATGTGTGTTTCTACAAATTTTTATATTGAATTATTAGAAACGGTTTAATATCTCTTTGAATAATTATTGCTTGTTACTCACAAGAAGATTGGTGCTTTTTAGGTAATCTAACTAAATAAATTTCTAATATTTTGGGCTGAATTATTAAAAAAGTTTGAAAATCATTTTGAAAAGCTATTGCTTGTTACTAGCAAGAACATTGGTGCTCTTTAGGATGATTTATCTAAGAATAAATTTCCAGGCAAAGTTGTGGTGGTCAAATACAATGTTGTTCTTTGACAAAGATAAGGTTTATTTAAATTACTTTTTGTAGAAATTTTTTTTTTATGGATTTCTATAAAAAAAAACATGTAAAAAAAAAAAAAAAACTGCAGCAAGGTCTAAATTTTATGATCTCAAGTTAAATTAGTAATAATAATTGAGATTTATGATCTCAAGTTAAATTAGTAACAATAATCTATTCATGACAAATACACTAAGATAGATGAAGTTAAAAATAGCAAAAGGTTGATTGGAAGACTAAAAACTTGCACAAAAAAAAAAAAAGAATAAAACTAAAACAAAAATAATAGAGACTTTTAATTTCTAGTTTATTCTTTTTTTAATTATTCTTTTTTTAATTTTTGAAAACCAAAGCTGACATCAAATTCAAATGCAAATGTTTGATGATGTAGCAAAGAGGGTTTTGAAAAGCGATTAACCAAGTTATGGTAGATTATGTTTGTAAATAAAAAACCTTTTAAAAATAAGATAACTTGTAAGCTATTTATATCTAAATTAGCAAATAAATTATTTTTATATTTACTAATTTAATATTTTATCACTTAAGATCAAGACAAGTTCTATTCTGTAGTTGTTAATTGCAGTTGTGAACCTTTTAAAATATGAAACCTTTACTGTAACGGTTGTATTAAACATTTTTTACATTTTTCCTCAACTGATATCAGTTCTTGTGGCCACAGGAGCCTTTTAACTTCTTGTAAAATTAATTTAAATTTAAATGTCTCGTTTTTTGAGGAAGATGTTAGTTTGATTTTATTTTTACATTTATCTGTCTAATTTTAAGAGATACATACAGCTGAGAAGTCTCATTTTTATATTTTTACTTATTTTTTTAACCTTCAAAAACTTCAAAAATCACAGTGTCCTTGAAATACTTTTAAGGAAACAGTGGCGTGACATAATATGGTGGGTTGTAATTTCTTTTTCAATGGCTTACAAAAGATTTGCTCTACTGCTTTTGTGTGTATGTTTGGCAAGAGCATATACTTTCTTAACAATCTGTTTAAAATAAGTTTTATGTTTTTAATAAGCATATTAAATTTTATTTAAGATTATTTTGTTTTTGTTTGTTCACTACTACTTAAAACTGGTGCTGTTTTTAAGACAATTGAGTAGAATATTAATTTTTTTTTAATGTTATTTACCTCCAAGGCAGAGGACCAATGCAGTCGAAGAGGTAACTTCATTGTGATTACAGTTCTCTCTCAATTCTTCAACTTCAATACACAAACCTTGAGGCATAAAACTGTTGCACGGAGAAACAAGTTGAGTCTGTTACTAGAAAGGACATGGTGGGGATGGAACTTTATTTAATTGCCAATACTGTAGTTTTTGATATCCTTTTATCATACCACTGTGTCAAAAATATACTTTGAGGTTTATATCAATTTTATATGACAAATCATTTAATTTCTTTCTAATGCTTAAATTTTTTTATTTGTGTCATTTTATATTTTATTTTCATTCTTTTATATTTTATTTTCATAAATTTTTGTTTTGCTAGAACAAATTTTTATTTCATTTTTTAAAATTTTTGTATAATTTAAAAAAATTCTTTATCTATTATATTTTAACTATATTTTTATTGATTGGGATTTTTGTAACTTTTCTATTGATGTTTCCATTTTTTGTCTGATTGTTGTTGTTTTTATTGTTTATTATAGTAAGGTTCATTATATTATATTATTTATTTATTATTTTCAACATTAAAAACTTAAAAACCTTTATTTTAATCTGTTCCAAATCAACCCTACCCTGCCTCATAAATTTCTCAACTTTCAATCTAGCTGAAAAACTATCTACTATCTTTGTTTTATAATCACTCTTCTACCAGTTTTGTTTCATAACCATATAGCCTACTTACCATGTTTCATAATCATATAGATTTTTTTTTAACATATTCACTTCAAACAAAGCTGCAAGGAACCACTATTAGAATAAGAAATTACTATAAGAGAAAAGATGAAGATTATAGAGCAAGATAATGATTAACAGAAAACTTAAAAGATTGCAAGTTATATGAATCAGGAAAGCAAGATAAAGGGAGCATATTCCAAAGAACTGATGGTCAAGGAGAAAACCTAGACAAAAAAGAATTTTTTGGGCACTTAAGAACATAATAGCATGAGACTTAAATGAATGACAAGTAACAATAGAATGAATTTTAGTAGATGGTACAAGAGATGCTAGCTCTTTAAAGCAGCACCCGTTAAAGTATTTAAAGAAAAGAGAAAGAGAAACAACATTAGGATGTGACAATAGTTGCAGGTTGGCTGGGAAAACAGGTCCAGCTATATTTAAAATACATTTTTGAACTTTGTCTAAATAAGAAAACGATCCTTCTCCACTTCGTATATGGCAACAGTATTCCATAAAAGGACAGTTATTATAGAGTTATTACAGTTTTATAGTGATAAAGAATAGAATCCGGAGTACAAAAGTTGTGAGCATGGTTGAGAAATGTTCCTTAGCAGTTGCTAATTTTGTAATGGATTTGATATATGGCTTCCAAGAAAGATAAGTAAAAGTTAATTCAAAAAGATTAAGGATAATGAATTATTGAGTACATTACTCTTCATAAATATTGTAAGATCTGGATGCGATAGCAACTAGCTAAAAAAAGTTTTATTTGAGTTTAAGTTCACCAGGAACTGAGATATGCTGTATTATAAGTGAGATCTTTGCTCAAATGGTTCCTCCAATCAATAAGAGAGTGTTGGCTTCTTATAAAAAAAAATATTAAATGGTAGTACCATTACCAATTAATACCACCTTAAATATGAGAATTTCTTGGAGATTGTCAATTTAAGTTAAAAAAAGTATAGGGCTAAGAATAGAACTTTGAGAAACCCAAGAAGTTGCAGGACATGAAGAAGAGTGCTGTCAATCAGGAATAAATTTTATACTACAATTGGTAAGGAAAGATTTATTCAGACCAGCATGACAAACTTTATCAAAGGCTTTAGAAATGTTGAGAGTGATAACCCTTACCTTTTCACATCTATTTAATGCACAATAAAACCTATCAGTTATTATGGTAAGCAAATCAGTAGTAAATCAAGATGTTTTTTTGAAATTGAAATCCATATTGATAATCATAAAGAAAGCTTTTAGATTTAATTTAAGAGATTAAGTGTTTATTAATTAAAGATTCAAACCCTTGCTTACGATAGGAAAAAAGAATAATTGGACAGTAGCTAAAAGAGTGAGATTGCTCTTCAAATGTTTTGAAAATAGGAATAACAGATGCTATTTTCCAGCAGGCTAGAAAACAAGATGAGGTAAGCACTTGTTTATAAGTTTTGATAGTATAGATGACTACTGCAGACAACATTTCTGAAAAACTATAACAAGTGTATATTGTCTGGACTTTAGCTTTAGAAGAGTCTAAGCAGAAAATCACTTTTGATACAGTAGATGGAGTGATACGAATGTCAAGCAATGGATCAACTTGTTTGTCGGCTATATCAGGTAGGATGCGATTAGTAGAACCAAAATAAGATTTATGAAAAGTTCTTAGCAAACAATTTAGTTTTGTCTTAGGTGAGGTAACAAAGTCTGAACCATGCAAGAGAAGCAAAATTTTTCTTTGTTATAGACACTAATAAAGATTCTTCTGAAGTCTTAGGAACTTTTTGAGATGAAGTATGAGATTTTCTGAGAATAGCAGGATTTGACATTAGACAAAACCTTTTTATAGTTGTTTCTAGCAATAGTAAACAGAATCTGTTTTCTGGACAATTGTTTTGTTGATAGGTATAGAAGTAATGGTTAAGGTTGAAAATTGCAGCAGCAAAATGAGAAAAGAACTACAGAGAAGACTAAGGCTTGACTTGGAATCATTGAGAGGGTATAATAGGTCTTATGCCAGTCTGAATCTAAGAAGTTAAATAAGAAGCGCTTTCATTAGCAGGAAGATGAAAGATTTTTGTTAGGTTTAAAGTAATTGTAAGCAGTGTGATTGCATGGGTATTTTGATGGCGAAGTATTATGATATAATAATTTTAGAGAGATCAAACAGTGATCATAAGCACCCAAGACTGAATGTGGAGAAATTGAGCACTGACTAGGATCAGAATCAAGACATAAGTTAAGTAGAGAAAGTAAATTATTCCAATTGTCTAGAGAGCGATTTGGAAAGTTAATTATTTGTGTTAGAGATTGAGAAAGACAAAAGTTTTGGTTCTCAACACCTACCAAATCATTGACACTAGAGCCCTGCCATTCAGTGTGATGAGCATTAAAGTCACCAATAACAACGATATTGGCTGAAGGATAAAGAAAAAGGGCTATGTCAATTTTTTTTGAAATAACCTAGAAAAGTTTGCAGTCTTGAGATGACAATGAGCAGTATAGAACAACGAAAAAGGTGATAGAAAGAAGTGGTACTAGGCGAAAACACATGAAAGAATAGTCTGCAGATTGAAACCTATAATCACCTTTTTTTATAGCTTTTTTGATAATTGCTCATTAATTCTTTTTAATCTTTTAAAAAGTTTTATATTTCTTTAACACTTATTTCATTTTACCTTTTTAAACTTTTTGTATTATTTAAAAAAAGTTTAATGCCTTTTGTATTTTGACTAATTTATGACTGACTTGGGTTTTTGCAATAATACTCTTTTCTTGGAATGTTGTTTTTTATTTTTTCTCTATTGTTGTTTATCTAGTTTATTATATTTGGCAGAATTTTATAAATTTGAAAACCTTTATACATCTAAATCAATCTTCTTCATGATTTTCTTACTTCCCAACGGACTTTGCTACCCAACGGGCATTCGAACATTTAATCAACGTTTAGTTAATGTTTGTTCTAAATGTTTAGATTTAATTTAGTTTCAATTTAGAACGTAGGTCAATCGATTGTTCCATTTAAACCATATCTAAATGGTTCGTTTTAAACGCTATTTAAACTCTATCTAAATCTTTCGTTTAAATCTTTGCGACTTTAGACTTTATTTTGCGACGCTTGTTTAAAGAAGCATAAATAAATAAAAAAATATTGATAAAAAAATCAAACTTTTATTTAAGCTGCTTTAAATAAGCACTGTAAAAACAAGTTAAATGCTGAACGCATTATCTAAATACTCATAAACAAATCAAACAATAAACAGATAATTTTTTATTTATATAAGTCTAAGATACAAGTAAAATCATTTTATTTATTATTATATGCATTATCGTTTTCGTCATCATCATTGGCTCCATAATGATCATCGTCATCTTTGTTTGAACCGATTAAGCTTCTTTGTCTTAAGAATTAGAAAAAAGGACATAACCTTTCTTATTTCCACCTATACGGAAGGGAGCCATTCTAAGATAGAAATCAATGCTCGGTATCGTTTTGTGGATACCGAAGTCATACAATCACTTTTCTAAACTTTATAAATCCATAGTTTTATAGATTATAGATTTGTACATTAATACAGTGTACATTGAGTAACTATAGTAACAATTGATAGAGAACTTTTCTTTAAAACTCTGTTAAATATATAACATTTATATAATAAAAACCTTATTAAAAAAACTTGTAGTTATCGCAGTTATGGGTTGATAAGTTGCATAACTGCAGGACAACTGCAGTGCCTTTCCTAAACATAGTAATACAACACTATATAGTATTCTATTACTTTATAACAATATTTGTACAACATATATATATATATATATATATATATATATATATATATATATATATATATATATATATATATATATATATATATATATATATATATATATATATATATATATATATATATATATATATATATATATATATATATATATATATGTATATATATATATATAAAGTTTTTATCCATTGTCTTGAGGAGCAGTAGGCACACTCAGTATCCTGTTTGATTGAAACTTTCTATTTAATTGAAAAGTTGTGGAGATACCGGCAGTTTCACTACAATATAAATAAATGTGTAAAAATAAAATTGTAATTCTTAAAATTCTTAAAGTTAAAAACTAATCAACAAACATAATAATCAAAATTTATATATCAAAATCATATATATGTACTAACACTCAATTCAAGGTAAAAATTAAGTATTACTTGATCAATCCATTAGTTAGTGCTTTGATATAGTAGTTATGTGGATAATGGTATTTTAGAACTCAATTTTCAGGCTTACAGAAAAGGAGACTTTGCAAGTACTGATGGGTTAGCTACAATGTAAATAACTATATAGATATATTATGTATACAAAGTTATTTTAAATAAAAATTTACTAAAGCATTGTAAATTTGATTTTAAGGTTTTTTAGGTTTATCAAAAAGTAAAGGAGTTTTATATAAAAGATATAAATTTAGACATCTTACTTGATTGGTCCATTCTAGAGTTTTTTGGTAAAGTAGTCACACTTGATTTGAATAAAGATATCTAAGAATGTAATTGAATGCTTGAGACAAGGTGGCTGTGGAAGTGGTGATGGTTTAACTAAAATGTAAATCCGAGTGTATATTGTCTGAGATATGTTCATTACAATTCAGTCTTCAAAGATGTAAAGTAGGAGAACTTACTTGCATAATCAATTGAATATACTTGCGGTACCACATCCATAATCTTTTTGTATAATTAAACATTTGTAACTTTTTTTTTATACTTGAATGCATCATGCATGCATGCTATATTATAATATAGCATGCATTAATAATGCACACAAGTATTTCTGCCACTAAGGTCTTCAAAAACTTTATTTTATGTTTATTGTAACATCAAATTAGCTAACCTGTCAATACTTGTACCTTTTGCATTGACATTAACATAAAACTCTTCCTCAACTGAAAAATAAAAACTATTTTACTATACCATAAAAATGGTTAATCATTTACTAATTAAAACTTGCTTCTTTTTTTTTAAACTAAAATAAAACTATTATTTTTAAATTTATAATATATTATATATATATATATATATATATATATATATATATATATATATATATATATATATATATATATATATATATATATATATATATATATATAAAATATTATTTGCTTTAACAAGCGATTTATTCAATTTTTAGTGCAGTTTTTCTATCTATATAACCATCTCTACTGTAATTGCATTAAACTAGTAATATTAACTTGAAAAAATTGAAAAAAAAAATTAGTTTAGATTAGAATAATGCACAATTATGGATTAATTATATGTTATTATTTTCAGTTTATATATTATTAGTTTCTACATAAACATTAACAAATTAAAATGAAACCTTTAAAAGAGTTGTATAATCAGTACTTTTGCGCTTTTTTGTTATCTGCTGATTATCAATGCCTTTTTCAGTTTCTGATTCTTAAAACTTTTGCAATCCTCATAAAAATCTGTAAAAGGAATAACAAAACATCTTATCCAAAGCAATGACAAATAAATTTAAAAAGTAAATTGTTTCACATTTTGTGAATAAAAATTATAATATCACAAACTAAAATAACAATTCAATAAAATATCAAGCTTTTGGTTCTTCCAACTAAACAGACTGGCGATATGACATTTTGCTAAAATGTTAACACTAACTTGGTTGAAGGTACATCAACACATAACATTAACTTCTAACTAAACTTGTTAAAAGTGTTTTAAATAAGTTTAGTCGTCTAGTTTTTTAGCTTTTTTTGCTGACTTTAGTTTTTCTGGTTCCGAGGGATGATATCCATATACATACTATATATTTCGACCCGTAAAGTTTCAAGCTTGGTAGGTCTTTCATAACATATTAGAATAAATGAAAAGTAATGCTATAAACATTTCAATAGCTTTTAGATATAGATCATAAGATAAAAACAGAACAATTTGAACTGAACTGGACTGTATATAAAATATTAAATGAAATTAAACAGGCAAAACTTAATTAACAATAAAAAATATGTTTGCGCGGATTTCAGAAAATTATGTAATATAGCTATATATATTATTGTTCAAACCATGGTAACTTTTCTACTAAAGAGAAAATAAATGATACAATATAATAATCTATCATATCAGACATAAGTAAGTTTATTTTCTCTTTAGTGTTTATCATATAGGAGTATGAATAATACTTAAATTTTTGAAAATATTTTTTAGTTTACATTAAAAGCCTACACTAAAACTGAAGATCCATTATATAAATATTTGAACCTTACAACTTTTAATTGGCACTGACTGCACTAAAAGTATAAATATTATAACATTGCTATTCGATCAATATAACATCTATCATAAACAAATAGTTGTTAGGTCTTAATATAAACAAAAAATAATATTTTTATTTAGTTATTTAAAAAGTAGTTACCTCTTAAAATGCATAATTTTTCTCTAAAACTTTTAGAGAAAATTTATGCATTTTAAGTAATAACTATTTTTCATAACTTTTCTATTTTTAGTAAAAGTAGAAAAACTAGCAAGCTAAGAGTTAACTATAGGCATTCTATAGCGTTGTTAAAAACCAAACAGAAAAAATAATTTAAGAAATAGTTTTAAAAAATGCTGAAACTGATACTTTTTTGAAACTGCTATTTTAGTAGCAATAATTAAAAAAAAAGAATTATCAAAATACATTGTTGCTATACTTAAAATTACTTTTAATCGCTCATACAATATTATGGAAGAACTTACAGGACTTTTTGTCTGCTTCATTAGCCACAATATAATACTAAAAACAAATTTCTTTTATCTTTTCTAAACCATTTATTACATAATTTAAGATTAATAAGAAACTCTAATTTTTAATCATAATGAAAGGTTCAAAATGTCTTACACATTTTATATGAAACTAATTTAATTAAGTTAGTTCCGTACTTAAATTGTTTGATTTAGCTTTTTAACGCAAATTAAATATTCAGAACACGTTTAGAATAGATTCCTAAACGTTTAGATCGATGTAAATGCCATCTAAACGTGATCTAAACCAATTTTAAACCAAAAACTTGATAGATAAGTAAGATAATTAGCTACTTATCTATCAAGTTTATTTCATAATAATTTTCCTACCATCTTTGTTTCCTAATCACCACCTACCATCTTTTTTTATAGCTTTTATAAAGATTACTTATTAATTTTTGAAAATTTAATTAAAAATTAATGAATATATAAAAATAATAAGTATAAATATTGGTTACTTTTTTTACTGCAACTTTTGAAGAAAATGCAGGAAAAAGAAAAAAAAAACTGAGTATGTTATTGCTACTTTTAAGTCGGATTGTAATTAGCAAGAAAAACAATGAAACTAAATTTGTTATTTTTTAGTTTTTGCTTTAATGTTTATTAAATTTTGATTTTGTTTTTATATTAGTATCATTTTAATGGAACAAAAAATCGATATGCTACAAGTGTAAACCACTTTCCTGTTGAAATTTCAGCACAATGTTTAAGAATAGTAAAAATTAAATCTTTTAAATATGCATCTGGAAGATTTGAAGTTCTTGGTAATAACATAAGTGAGTTAAAATAATTTCATTGCAAAACCAAGTGTCACTTTTAAACTGAAAGTTAGAATTTAAAACTGATTTGTTTTTATTTTGATTTTTTATTTATGTATATTTATATTCTTATATTTTTTTATATTTTTGGTCATATTTATTGTTTAGCTTATCCACCAAACATTATTATGCCTAAACTTGTATTTAACATCAAAAATTCCACTGCTTTTGTTAAATGTGTTGTGATTGGTCAACCAGGTCTCATCATTCAATGGAGAAAACAAAATGAAATTATTGTTTACAATAACTTAAATTACACTATTGTAACTAGTAATAGTTCCATAGACATTAATGAAACCTACACATCAGAATTAACAATAAAACCTTTAGTTCATTTAAATGTTGATAATGATGACAATTTTTGTCATGGTGATATAAAAAATGTATCTTGTTTTTTTAACTACTCTATTAGTACAGGCTACACATCAGCTAATTTATTTGTTACAAATACATCATTAATATACTATGGTTTTGATGGTAAGTAAATTTTTTAATTATAAATTTATAGCTGTAAAGTTTTAAGTATATAGATATAATATTTATATTAGTTTTAATATTAAATTGTTTTTATAATATTTATATTCATTTAGTTTATTTATAATTGTAAAAACCGTTTAAAAATAGATCCTATACAATTTAAAATTATTTCAAAATGCTTACTAATATATATTTATAAGTTGAATATTTATAATTGTTATAGCTGTATTCATCTTATTATATTTAATTAATTTACAGCGGAAATTGATTTACCTAATCTTACGATCATTGCAACTAATATCTCAATAAATATTACATGGACAACTGAAAGAGTTAAAAGAGATTTCCAAGTTTTTTACAATTTCTTGCTGATAGAACACAATGGTTCTAACAAAATAACACGGCACAAAAAAACTAGCATTGAAAGCATTGCAGTGTATGACGCAAAACCATATAGTTTTTACACCTTTGAATTGACTGCGTTCAATCGATTAGGAATATATCAAAAAGTCATAAAGAATTTTTTCTTAGAAGAATGCTGTAAGTATTTTATATTTTTGTTAATTATGGTATTTTTTTGAATATTTTATTTTTGTTATTTTTCTTAATGAGCATTGGAATTTTCTAATTAAATTTATTTTTCTTGAAGTAATATCTTTAGATCCATCTGTGATTGGAAGCTTTACTGCTTTGGCTACATCTAAAGAGAATATTTCATTGAATTGGAAACATCCAAAATGTCAGAATGGAATCATTACTAATTACACTGTTGAATATGCAGAGTTCAATTTGTCAAGCACTATGCTATCTTTTCCAGTTGTTGAAGAAAATCTTAAAAACCAAAATTTTACTGTTGTAGTTGGAAAACTAAAAAATTATCAAAAATACAAATTCCGAGTAAGTGTAGTTTTTAAAATAAAATAGTATTTATTACCCTTAAATAAAGTTTTTCTTGTTAATATTTTGTTATTATTACTTATTCTATTTCGAGAAAATTCATAAATTTTTTAAATATCATAACCATTTTTTGTTAATAAAAAGAAATTTAAATTATTATTTTAAGGTAAAAGTTATGACGAACCATGGAGAAAATTCTAGCGAATGGAGTGAATGGATAATAGAAGCAACTTTAGAAGGAAGTAAGATTCATCATAATTTATGATAAATTATGTATAGACAGTATTTATGAATTTTATTCTTAAATAGGGTTCATCTTCAAATTAACTTTTAGTTTTTAAATGTTTGCTTTCAACTGATGGTTTTTACATTTATATATTTGTGTTCAAGTTTAAATTTTAGAATTTTTTGTTTTTTCCAACATAATTTATGCTTTTTATCATCTAGTTATTAAATTTAAATATATAAATTTAATAACTTTATTTGTTTCTTTTTTTTTTTTTTTAAAAAAGAGTCAGCTTTTGTGATCTTGATATTAATTTGATGGCTGACATTGTTAAATCATTTATTTCAAATGTAATCAAAACCTCCATATTTTCTAAATATTTTGGTACCAAACTATGCAAATAAAGTCAAAAGGTATTTCATAGTAAAGGAGGTTTATTTATATTACATTAAGTATGTGACATTAAGATTTTAAACAAATCAAACATTAGATTGTTATATATAATTGGAAAGACCTTGAAATCAGTATTTTAATGGTGAAAAAAATTATCAAAATCAAACAATTTTACAAAAAATTATAGCGTTTTAAGTACTAAATTTTTGATATATGGATTTGTTGAAGAAACTGTGACCAAATTTTAAGTTTTTTTGAACTTAAGATGTCATAACTTTGTCAATTCTTATCAAAATTCAAACAATCAAAAAAAAGGTCTTAAAAAGGAGAATTAGGATACATAAAAATGTATGCAGGACGTCTATAAAACTTTTAAAAGGGTGTCTAGAACACCCTTTAGTATGTTCAAAATCAAGGTCTTTTTAAAGAAAATTTTAATTTTTTTTTGTATTTTTTAATATAGTTTACCAGCCCACCAGTAAATGTGATTCAGATACTTTGGGTTGGGTAGTTGGAAGCCAACTTGGCTTCGGGTGGTAGTAGATGCGCCTTTCTACTCATTGCCACTGCCAAATCATTGTATTTTTATATATAAATGTATAACATTTAGTGTAAAGAAAGCAAAGTTTTGAGATAGCAAATACATACTAAGTGTGTAAAAAGGGTGCAACAAGGAATATTTTGCACCATCAATCCTCTACCCCCCACCTTTACTTTAGGTAGATGGGTTGGGGTGGGGGGGGGGAAGAGAAAAAAGGAGGGGTTTAAATTATAAAATTAAGTATACTATATCTAGATATGGTATTTGATAAGATAAAGTATCTAGATATTACCTATAAATAAATCTAGATATAAAGATTATAGATGTATCTATATACACTTATAGGTGTATCTACATGCACATATTAATAAGTGTAAGTAAGTGGTTAACAACAAGGTTTGTTCTTCTGCCTCTTTTGCCACCCCTTCTGCCACCAGGAGGCTGAAATTTAAAAAGAGGCAAGTCATTGCCTCCATTCTGGGCCCATATACGAAAGGCCCGATTCGATTCGAAAATCACTCCTTGACAAACCTATATTAAGTAAAAGCAAAATTTTAGTAAAATAATCAAAAAATGAAAATAAAGAAAAAATTGTTAAAAAAAATTACTTTCCAGTTTTTCTTCAGAATTGTTGGTGCCAGGTGGCAGAGATGGTGATGACGCCGATGAAATTGGTAAATCTAAAAAAAGTCAGTAACTAGTAAAATTACTAAAATTTCATATTGACCTGTCTATACATGTATTTTAAAAAACAAATAAAATAAGAAACTAATAAAATACCGCTACTAATTTGTTCTGCAGCTGCTAAATCAAAAAAAATTTTTTTAGCTCTTTTAAAAGCATATCTTTTTAATGAATTCAATAAAATAATTAAAATTCTATCAAGTACTTCTTTTCTTTTAGCTAACAAACAAAAGTTCCTATTTTAAATTATTTTTATTTAGTGTAATGCAAAAAAAAAAAAAAAAAATTATAATTTAATAAAGATATATCTACCAAATTCCTCCCTTTTGCGAGCTAAAAGATATATATTTTAATGAATCATGCTTGTCACAGTTTTTTAATTTAAAATTAATTAAAAAGTAAATTAAATAATTTATACCAATCTCCTCCTGTATCTTCGCTAAAAAAAAAATTATTTTAACTTATTCCATATCTTTTTATCATTAAAAATCAAGAAGTATTTAGTTATAGCATTCTTGTTAAATTTTTTGGAACAAATTGAAGAACCATACCTTTTTTTAATTCCAACTCTTTTTTGCTAAATAATAAACAAACATTTCAATAAATTTTATAACAATTATTTTTTTAAATATTTAAAACAAATGTTTAATTTTGATTTATACCTTGTTTATTTTCCTCTTCGTCCTAATATAAATAAATGTAAATTAACCATGTTGAAATAAAAATTCACTATACATATCATCATCTACAAGGTCATTAAAAAAAGTTAATTTCAATTTGAAACCAATTTAGGAAACAAATTTAGATTAAGTTTGATAAAATATTAAAAAGATGAAACATTTACAAGCGAAACAAAATAGAGAGTACTTAAAAAAATGATTTAGATAAAACAACTCAGTAACTATATATATATATGTATTAACAGCTTTTTGAAATATAATAAAATGACAAACTGAAACCTACTTGCTGTCTTGTTAATGAATAACATTTTTTTTTTCCTTATCTAATCTAAATTTAAACTTCTACATCAAATATTTCACTTGGTTAATTTTTATAGCATAAACAATGACTCGGGCAATCTATACTAGTATCTGCTGCATAATATGTGTGTATGTGCCTGGATGTGTTTTATATGTATAATTAATGTGTGTGAGATTGTGTGTGTAAAACTACTCCTTTCTAAATCGAAATCTCCTTCTGTAAAAAGTCGTGTAAAAATGTTTTCATGGTAAGATGTAGGTAAAGGTTCATACTGATCAAAAGTCTTAATAAAATTGACTAAAATTTTCTAGTAAAATGGACACTATACATACAATGGTTTAATTAGTACTGTCTTGGCTTTTAGTAAATGATTAAAATATTAAATTCAATAATTGAAAAAATATTTAGTAACCATTTTTAACAATAACCACCATGTGAAGGTAAGCCAGAGCCGTCTATCAAAAAAATTGGGCAAGTTGAAAAACTTGCTGTACCTAATTTGCAATCTACAAATAGAAACCAAGGTCAAGTTTCCAGTCTGAAAAATTAATAGAAATTAAAATCAAAACATTCCCTACCATGATTTTCATCATTAGCAACACCATTTTACTTGAAAGCAAATGTATTGAGCATTCATTGATTTACTTTAGATATTTAATCTAATTTTTCAACTCTGCCTTCAAACATCACAGGACTAAAAGTGTCAGCATCGTACCATTCATGGCAGAGTTTCCTTCCAACAATTCTATCAGATATAATGTCTTCTAAATCATCAAGTTGCTTGATTGACAAATGCTTTAATGTATTCTTCATCTCATCAAGAGTTAGTTTGGACAGATCTTTCTCTAATTTTTTTTTCCGCTTGGAAATCTGTCTTTTAGAAATCTCAGCTCTAATTTTAGCATGTTGCTGTTGATTTCTTATTCTTTTTTTACGCGTCATATGAATAAACCACTTAACTACTTTTTCTCTAGAAAATTGGTCAAGATTTTCCAAATAGTGTGTAGTCCTATTCTTTTTTACTCTTAATTTGCAAGATATATAGCGAATTGTTGCATTGGGGTACCTTCCTTTTGCATTACTAAACATGCTCATTAACTCCTCACTATCTATATTGTGCAGCCTTGCACTCTTTGTTTCCTGCTTAAGTATTTTTGTAACAGTAAGAAAATAATATCTGGCATATTGTTGATTCAAAACATCTTCCACTGCAATAAGACAAACTGAAGCCATGCTAATTAGTTGCTCATCAATAGAACAAACACTAGTTACTGTTTCTAAAATATTTTTAAATGGAATTTCCAAAAAAATCAGTCTGTCTAACAAACAGTAAAGCTGGGTTAGCTTTGCAAGCTTGAACAGTTTGCAAAACATTTTTTACTACACAAATACCAGCAACATGATCAAAAGTTGCATTCTTAGCTGATACATAAAACATTTTCATCCACGGACCAGTATAAAGTTTTCCAAATACTGCAAGCACACACATTTCTTTTATGGCAGTTGTATTGCAAAATGATGCTAGTAAAACTGCTTGTAAGCTTTTACACTTTACTATACCTATATTACTGTATTTATGATGAGAAAATGTTTAAACTCATTATAATGCTTCATAAAAATGAAACAAGAATGAAAAATGATATGAAGACGGTTTCCACGATACCTTGGAATGATACCTTATGGTAGTTTGTTGTTGTCTAAAAGATTTACAAAATCTTTTGGATCATCTTAAACATCCTTAAACCTCATTTTGCTCATAGCTAGAACAATTTTGGTAGCCATCCAGTCATTTTCAAATAATTGGCAACTTTCATTTTCAAAAAACTTTAATGCTGAACGACATGAAGAAGCTATTGTGTCTAGAGGGTGCAAATGGCAGTTCAACTCATTCATATTCTTTCCCCAGGTTGCACAAACTTTGCTTATTGTAAGATGGTTAACCGCAACTCTGTCTGACATTGTGTAATAAATATTTGAAATGATTCAGCTACAACACTCATTAAAGCTGCACAAGTAAAAATCTGAATAAATAAATGCCATATCATCAATGGAATTGCATAAAATGCAATGCAAATGCAAATTGCATGGAATGGTTTTCATAATCATCAGCTGTACCTCCAGGCATTTGATCCAGGGCAATGACTTGACATTTATCTTTAGATGTCAAGTGAACGCTATTAATGTGAACACCTTCTTGTGTTGTAGCGTCAAATCCTAAAGTAAGATGATTTGTTTTGAATAAACCATTCTGCTGATTGCAACTCTGATATAATGTCTAGCTCACAGTTTACTCAACAGCGATGGGGAATATCAGTAAAAGTGACACCAATATATTCCCCTATTTTCTTATCAGCAACGGAATGTTACCTGTTGGGACATTACATAATAACATGTTATAAACTACCATTCTCATATGTAGTGAATGTGTGTTTTCATCTTCTGAAATTTTTAAATTTGTAATTTCATCCTCCTCCATCAAAAGCATATCATTTTCAAAGCAAGAAATTACTGTTATTTGCCTTAATATCAGCATTATATTTGAATTGTATTTGCCTTAGCTTTTGCTTTTCATTTGTTTTTAATGCCTTTTTTCTAGCCTTTAAACTATGTATATGCTTAGTGTAGTATTTTGTTTTTATTTTTATTCTTCAAGTCTTTAATTATTGACCTTAAAGCTTTGATAATTTCTTCTTTTCTTTTAACATTTTTCCTTAAAACCTTTATTTTATAAGACATGCTCTTTAACTTAGTTTTAACTAAAGCTGTCTTGCTTCTGTGTTCTCTGAGCTAGCTAACTGAGAAGACAAATAAAATAACCTAAATTTTAGTTTTTTTTCCTTAGGAGTAAATTTTTCTCTAGAAATATGCTTATCTAATGCCTTCGTGCAATAAACTGCAGATGTTGAAGGTTCACTAGTCAATGATAAGGCTACTGAAGAATCAGTTTGCAATGAATGTGCTGTTAAAGATGAGGAATAAACATTAAAAGGCTCATTACAAAATTCAATAAAATGTTTAGAGTACACACACTTTGAAAAGTTTTTTCCCCAAGCTTGTGATTTTTTTACAAGATGAGTTTTAATAGTTATGAGATTATTATATATAGATATATTGTTCTGCAAACTTGTTGAGTAGTTTTTTGAAATGACTCACCACTCGCTTGTAAATATAAAAAGTATATGCCCATTCCTACAAATTGTGTTGCTATCTGTCATACTATCAATGTTTATTTGTGAAGGTAATGCAAAAGTAGAAGTTAAATACTTTTTAGCTTCACCATAAAAAAAAACACGTTTTTTTGGGTCCCATGACAACTACAAAAAAAAATATCAATAAATAAAAATATCAATAAATAAAAATATGAAGCTAAAATAAAAAAGACAAAAACTTACACTAAAAAAGTTAACCATGCACATAAGTCTATAATAGAAATTTTAAAGGCAACGAGTAATAAATAATTTAGATAACTTAAGATTAACTAAAGATATATATTATATCTTTAGTTAATCTTAGATTAACTAAAGATATAATATATATCTTTAGTCTAAAATTAACTAAATTATAAAGATATAATTTAGTTAATTTTAGATTAACTAAAGATATATATATTATATATCTGTATTTATATGTAGATATATTATATAAATACAGATATACAAAATATAGATTTACAAACACAAATAAATTTTTGCTTCAACATATAACAAAAAAGTTTTACCTAAAGTTATTTGTCCATAATTTAATCGCTAAGTTATTGAAAATTAAATTAATTATTAAACTAAATTATCTCAGATTAATCATTAACCTGAGATAATTTAGTTTGGACAAACTTAAATAATATTTACCTATAATGCTATTGAAACTAAAAAGTTAGGTATTTAGCTCTTAGCAAGATAAGGAAAACCTTATGAAACCTTATCACTATATTTCAGATAATATTTCTGATATTTTCAATTATTGACAGTAGAAATAACAACAAAAAACAAAAAACTGTATTTTTTGATAATAATTTAATTAGTGAATAATTTTAATTTTGTCTTATGATATAAGTTATGTACATATTTACTAATGTAACAAATGTTATAATAAAAAACAAGTGCCACTACCCCTCCCGTTTTGTTTGTGATTGGTTTTGCCGAAAATATATACCCAACTTGAGCATCCTAGAAGGCTACTTAAGCATCCAAATATTTGGATGCTTAAGTAGTATTAACCCACTAAACGCGTTAGCATATCACTAACGCAAAACAAACTCAAAAAAATGTGGCACAGAATTTGGCTGAAAAAAATGTTTCCGTAAAAGCCGAAATTACGCGTACCTAATTATACAGATTTCAAGATACTTTATAAAAAAAAAAATTTTATTCAAAGTTTTTTTTCTCCTATTTTACTTTTATTTGTGTTTTTTTATGTTAATTTTCTATTTTCTTTTTTTTTTGTCTTTTTGTTTAAAATTTGGGTTTTATTAAATTATTATTCTTTAATTCAATCAACAATTCATTTTATTTTAGATCCATCTGTTATTAGAAACCTTACTGCTTTAGCAATATCTAAAGAAAACATTCAATTGAAATGGAATCATCCAGAAATTTCCAATGGAATCATTACCAATTACATTGTTGAATATGGAGAGTTTCATTCATCTAACATTATTTCACTTTCTTTTTTAGTTTTTCAAAGTCATTTTGCTATGCATACATTTGCTGTTCAAGTTAAACAACTAAAAAATTATCAGAAATATAAATTTAGGGTGAGTGTGACATACTATTGAAACATACACTGATCACACAACATTTTTGTAATACAATAATTGAAAATTTTTTGACATTTCATAATCAAGAACGATGAAAACCTATGATAATTATTGAGAACTGATTGATTTTTTTTCTTCTTAGAAGTAGATTATGAGAAAAAAATTAAAATCAGACTTCCCGGAGCAATGCATCAAACAAGGTTTCAAATATTTTTGCAGTTCTTAATTACAAAATGTAAAAACTTTTTTGATATACTGTAATTAAGAACTGCAAAAAAACTTTTGTATTTGACAGTTATCAGGAACTGATTAATCTATCTTTTATTAGGAGTAGGTAATGAGAAATTATTTTATTTAGGAGTAGATAATGAGAAAAAATCAGATATCCCAGAGCGATCAAGCAAGGTGGTTTGCTAGTGTTGTTTACTCTTTAAAATGTGTTTCTTGCAATCCCAAATTGAATTTAGCACTAAGAATAAATGAGAATTTCAAAACATTGGTTTATGAATGTGAAACCATGACTTGAATGTAGTCTGGGAGTGAAAGCATCAATCAAGATTCCTGCTTTTTAAAAAGGCATAAGGATAATGAAATAGTTGATAAACTAGTCTTGAGGATGTTTAGTTAACATCTATTTTACTTGTAAGAAGGAATCTTTTTTATCATTTTATCACTTTTTGATGATGAAGTTAATAAAAAAACTAGGGGAAACATTATAGTGAACTTAGAAAAAAAGAATTTGTATGACTCTAAAAAGAAAAATGTCTGATTTTTTGAATGTTAAATAGGAATGCATAGTATTAATTTTTATACTGTTTTCACTAAGCTGATATTAATACTGTCTTATTTATTGTTAAAAATTTGATTTTGTGTCTGTCAGGTCCACAAGTTTTTTTTCTTGATTAAAAATTGATAAAAACTTCCTCTAGAGACCCATTTCTATGTGGGAAAAAAAAAAGAAAAAAGATGTTGCTTATATAGAGGCAAAATAAAATGTTCTTTCTTTAAGGACACAACTGAAGAAGTTGTAGAATTTATGCAAGATTTTCATGGTTTGATTGCTGCAAAGATAGAGCAAAACATTTTTGCTATGTTATGTGCAAGAGCATAGAAATTTGTATCAAGACTGATAAAAGAGACTATCACAGAAAAATGTCCTGTGTTGGCTTCTTTTTTATAAAAATAAAATAATTTTTAAATTAAAAATAGAAAAGTTTAATTTTTTAAACCATACCTTTTTTTTGAAAATTGTGAACTTATTTTTTTTTAAAAGGTAAATGCATTAACTAATCATGGGTTAAACCCTGGTGAATGGAGTGAATGGATAGATGAAACAACTTTTGAGGGAAGTAAGTGTTATGTTTTTGCAAATAAAACTTTTGAAATATTGAAAAGTTCATTAACTCAGTTTGATAAAATACAGGAAAGTTTGAAGAATATTATATATATTTGTATTATATATTATTTTATTAGTATTATGCATTATAGTATAATTTCAGAATTATAACATATTTAAGTATAAAGGTGGATTTTTACATTTTTTGATGTTATTAAATCATTTATTTAGTTAATGATATAGATGACATTGTATTAACATTCACCATGTCATCATTCAAAAATTTAAACAGATTTGATTTAAAAAAAAAATGTATTTATTCAAGAAACATGTGTTGATACAAGAAATAATGTGAAGCATTTGTATTTTTAGGCGTGTGTGTAAATAAGTTTAATAGAGACAAATAGATTAATATTATAAGAAAACATTTTTTTTATGAAGTTGTACACATAGTTCTAAAAGATTTTTATTTTAATAAAACTAACAAAAGTAAAATGCATGAATGTTCGATGAGTAATGTATATATTTTGTATAAATAAAATGTATATATTGTGCTTTACATCTAAAATTTATTCTTTATTTATTTATTTTATTAGTATTTAATAAATAATCTGTTACTAATAACAAATTTTTTTTATGCTGAATTTTAAACATGATAAATTTTGTTATTTCTTCAGTATTTTTCAATGTGAGTTAGAACAACAGATATCTTTGAATGGTGAACCAAGTACAGCCTAATATAAAAGAGAAAGCAAATAATAATAATTATAAATATTTATTTCCAATAGCAATAATGATCACACATTATTATTAACATATTATTATTATTATTTTTTTTTTATGTTGATTTTAGGTGCCCCAAAAAGTCCTTACGGTCTTATCACAGAGCACCGCCGAAGAGCATTTAATAGGAAGTTCATGCCTCCTTCCCAACCGATGTCGCAAAACTTGCCCAGAGGCGGGGTTTGAACCACGGATCTTACGTTTCTGAGGCAAGTGTGCTACCACTGCACCACGGCTGCTTATTATAATATACAGCTGCTTATTATAGTACACGGCTGCTTATTATAATATAGACAAAAATAATTATTATAATAATAGTTAATTATAATAGTAACTGTTAATATATAAATATAATATAATATAATATGATTTTTGCAATCGTTTTTTTAAAAAAACCAATTATAAAATCTGTTTTCAAAAAAACAAAATTTATTAAAAACACATAAGATAAAAAAATAACAATAATTAATAATAAAATTTTATTTTATTGTTTTCACACTTTCCCACACTTCGGTGGTGTGCAAGATCTAAAAGGTGTAATTCTAAACGAAATAGCAACTTATTTTTATAAAAACAGTTTTCTAGTATTACATTTTTTGTTGTTGTCTGCATTAATCATTTCCCAGATAGAATTTGATCTCAGATCAAAAATGTTTCAAAGTTATATGCTAATGATACCAAAATTTTATTAATAGTAAAAGTTTGTGTGTCAAAGAAATCTAGAATGACTTAAATAAAGCATTTGAATGGACTCAGTTAAATCGTTGCTAAAATTCAACATAAACAATTGCATTATGGCTCCTCCAATAAAAGTTATAGACATTTCATGATTATGAGCCTGAACAATAGCTTAGAGTTAAATTTTCCAAATATCCTCAATGGAAAATAATCAATTAATTATGGCAGTTGACAAAGTAAATAAAATGCAATAAATTAAGCTTAATAAGTTAAGATTAATACAGTTTTTATATAGTTAAAAATAAAAATAAAGCTCAAAAGTTACAGTATATATATATCGCTTTTAATCATCCCAGAAGCCTTCTTTTCTATGCATTAGTTATTTTTAGCGTTTTATGTTTTAATTTTTTTTTTTTATATTTTAATTTTTGATATTTAAATTTATTAAATATTTTTTTTAAATTACAAATTGTTAATAAATGATTAAATTTAATTTATTCTTCTTATTTCTCTCATCTATGGTCATTTTAGATCCATCTGTTGTAAGAAATTTTACTGCTTCAGCAATATCTAAAAAAAGTATCGCATTGAAATGGCATCGTTCGGAATTTCCAAATGGAATCATTACCAATTACACTGTTGAATATGGAGAGTTTCATTCATCTAACATTACTTCACTTTCTTTTTTAGTTTTTAAGAACCATTCTGATACATGTACTGTTCAATTTGAACAACTAAAAAACTATCAAAAATATAGATTTAGGGTAAGTTTAATCAGTGTTCAAAAATTCTTCCTCAAGCTGTTTTTATTTTTAATTTTATTAAAAAATCACATTTCCTAAAATTGTTTTTTTGTTTGTTTTGACACAGTTTTTCATTAAGTTATTTTTTTTGTAATAAAAACTTTAAATGTAATTTTAAATGTAAGCTAAAGGTCTCTACAATGATACAGAATCACAACACACCCTTCATCTAAAAAAAAAAATTGATAGAAATGTCACCTATATTTTCTTTTTAACTTAATTTTTTTTTTCCCACAAAGCTGCAAACAACAACTATTAAGTTGGAAGTGACTAAAAAACAAACAATAAAGTTAAAGAGCAAGGAAATGGTTGACAGAAGACTTAAAAATTGTAGATCATATGAATCATAAAGATGGTAAGGAGTTACAAATAAATAAAATGCAGAAAAAAAATTTAGATGAATCAAATTTTTTAGAGCATGCAAAGACAGATACAGTAAAAGAATGCAATTTTGCTGAATGGCACTTAAGTGAGGATGAAGCTTCATCCTCACTTCATCCTCACTTAAGTGAGGATGAAGTGAGGATGAAGCTAGAGATTATAGTTCATTTGGGCCATGCATAGTATTATAAATAGGATAGTATTTGTATAAAAAAGAAAGAGATGCAACCTTACAATGACGAGTAAGAGGTTAAAATTACAAATAGTGAGACAAATAGTTCCAACTTGGTTTACAATGACTTTTTGGACATTGTATTCCAACTTGGTTTACAATGACTTTTTGGACATTGTCTAGAAGAAAAAGAGCATCATTAGAAGAACCAGCCTAAATATGACAATAGTATTCCGTATACAGGTAATAATATACAGGGACAAAAAGAAATTTGTACATTTGTAAGTAGAGAATAAGATAATAGCAAGTATAATAAGAAAACTGTTAAAAGAAAACTGGTTAAAACTGGTTAGGCAATAGTTCAATGGGTCAAAAAGGACCTTCACCAAGAAAGTCACACTCAAATTCAGAGTGCAATTAAATGGTCCAAAGAATAATAATATTTAATAAAATATTGGTAGAGATCATTGAATGGTCAACCTCCTAAAGTAAGAACAAGGAGAAGCTCAACAAAAGCTAGGTTTATAGACAAGTCCAAATATATGTAAAAATGAAAGAAAGTCAAAGAGTTAATTATTTGAGTAAGAGGTTAAAAAATACAGATGTTATGGGCTTAAGTGCCAGTAGGGTCAGTTATATCAGAGTCTAGTCATTCAGTGTGATGATCATTAAAATCACCAATAACAAAAATATTGGCAGAGGGGTAAAAAGAAAAATCAATTTGAACAAAAATCTTAAAGAGTCTTGAGAAGATGTTAAAATATAGTTAATAAAAGAGAGATTGAGTGAGGTAGAAGCTTTTAGAGGAAATGTGTAATTCAATGTAATTCAATGTAATTCAATTCATGTAATTAATGTAATTCAAACCTGATTTTCAACTTTCAACTTGACAACTTGGTGTATAGGCCCGAGCCAAGCATTTGACTGTTGGAGGTTTTGCAAATCAAAGTTTAGTAGCCATCATTGCTGAAATCTAAAAAAGAAAATAGAAAAAAATTCTCACAATGAGTTAGTGAATAAATCTTGTAAGTATTGTAAGAGGTGATAAAAGTTATTTTCAAATGTTTGTAAAAGATATATTTAAACAGTGGTTGTAGGGTTTTTATGTTTAATATTTTAAGGTACTTTAGTCATGATTTAAGTTAAAGAGAACTCATTGAGTCATTCATTAATAGAGCATGGCATCTTAAGCAATGAGCTTTATAATTGTCTCAGTTCTGCTAATTTCAGTCCTGTGACTACAAGTCTTAACTTTTGGAATCATTAAACTGAGTTTAATAGTTCTCAGAGTTCTGTGTTTCTTAAATGTTATAGTGCTGTAACCACTATTAGAATTGGAAGTTACTAGAAGAGAAAAAAAAAAAGTTTATAAAGCAAGATAAGGATTAACAGACAACGAGTTCTATAGAACAGATGTTTGAGGAAAAAAACTAGAAAAATGAAAATTTTTGCAGCACTTAGAAATAGTCACAGTAAAAGGATGAGACTTAATTGAATGATAAGTTTTTTTTTTTTAATTTTTTTTAATTTTAATTCACCTCCTCAAGGCCGAGAAGGCCAATACAGACGAGGAGGCTACTTATTCATGGCTATAACCCTCTCTCAACTCTATAACTCCGAAACACGAACCTTGACGAATAAGGCCGCTGCTCGGAGAAACGAGTTGAGCGCGGTACTACCAGGGACGTGGTGGAAGTAGCACAAAAGTGCACAAGCACAAGCGCTAATTCTTAAGAGCAATAGTATTTATAGAAAAGAGAAAGCTGTTATTATTATAGAAAAGAGAAAGCTATGTCATGTTATGACTATGTTATGTCGATTTAACAATGGTTGGCTGCAAGAGCAGGTCCAACAATATTTACAATTCGTTTTTGTCTAAAAGAGAAATGACATTATTTGAAGATCTGCTCCAGATATGGCAACAATAATCCATACAAGGATGGATTAGAGATTTATAGAGATAAAATCCAGATTAGTAATAAATGGTAGTATCATCAGAGAACAATGCCTCACTAGATGAGAGAATAGCTTGAGGACAACAACTATGATTGGTAAGAAAGAATTCAGTAATCTTGAAGATGTTATCTAATATCATTAAAGGCTTTAGAAATGTCAATTGTGATTGACATTTAACCACCTCTATCTAATGCACAATAAAATCTGTTAGTTATACTTTTAATATAACAGCAGTAGAACAAGAAGATCAAAATTCATATTAATGATCAGAAAGTTTATAAAAAACCTTATGATAGACTTAAAAACCTTAAGAAGGCTGTAGTTAGACAAGTCATTGTTTAAGATTGCTCTCCAGAATAGCGATAACAAATGTCGCTTACCAGCAGGCTGGAAAACAAAAATATGATAAGCACTTGTTAAATAGTTTTAAAAGTAAATACTTTTAAAAAATTTTAAAATTAAATAATATTAAAAGAATATTATTGACGACAGCTCCGTGGAACACTTCTGCAAGTCAATAACAGGTATGTTTTTCAGATAACAAGTTGTAGAAGAGTCTAAGCAATAAATCACTTTTAATGCACAAGATGGAGTGATACCAATTTTAAGCAATGGGTTAACCTGTGCATTGCCTATATCAGGTAAGATTTGTTAGTGGAATCAAGAGATGAGGTTGATGAAAAGTTTTTAGTAAACAAATTAGCTTTGATGAAGATGAAGAATCTTTACCAGTGTCTATAATAAAGGAATTTCTTTGAGGGTTCATATTTTTTTATCTCACCAAAGACAAAGCTAATTTATTTACTAAAAACTTTTCTGAACCCTCAAAGAACTTCCTGAACCCTCAAAAAAATTCCTTTATTATAGACACTGGTAAAGATTCTTCACAAGTCTCTGGAGCCTATTTTTTGAGAAAAAAGATTTGGTGACCTGAGAATAGCAGACTTTGGCATTAGACTATAATAATGGTGGCCAAATCACTGCCCGTGGGCAAAAAAATGCCTGCATAGACATTTTTAAATGTCCGTTAAACTATTTGTATATATACGAGACCAACATCTTGGTAATGTGATTATCTACCTCAAAAATCAATCCAGTCATGAAAAAACTAGTTTCAGACAGTCAAGCTTACCACTCTTAATTATATTGCTTTAATACAAATGATTGTAATAGTCACCTTTATTTTTGTAGAAATAAATATTTTTTGCCCGCAAAATTGTTTTTTAACTTTTTTTTGTCCGTATCCCAAATAGTCTGGCCACCTCTGGGCTATACCTTTTTATAATGGTTTATAGCAGTAGTAAACAAACGTCTATTTTCTGAAGAATTTCTGGAGAATTATTTTGGTGATAGATAGGGAAGTAATGGTAATGATTGGAATTCGCAGCAGTACAATGAGAGAAAAACCATGGTGAAGAGTGAGGCTTGACTTGAAATAGTTGAGAGGGAATAAAAGATTCCATGCCAGTCTGAATCCAAGAAGTTACATAAGAAGCACATTTATCATCAGGAAAACAAAAGATTTTTACCCATGTTCCATCATGAAGAAAATCATGGAAAGAGTCTTAGTCAGCTTTAAGGTAGTTGTAAGATGAAAGGGGATGATGATATTCTGATGATGAAATAGAATGAAATATTAAATTTAGAGAGATCAAGTTGTGATCAGTAGCAACTAAAGGTACATTGAGTCAAAAAGATTCAGCAATCAAGAAAGCAAAGAAGCAAAAGCAAGAAGCAGCAGACTTTGTCTAAAAAATTTGTCTTTCTATGTAGCAGGAAATAATTTAGCATTTAATATTGCATATATATTGTAATTTTTGTTTCTTATTAACTCATGATTAAACTAAATGTTTTAATGTTATGGCTAAATAGGGTGTAATAGCTATAACTTTATTATATATATAATAGGCTATATAGGGTGTAATAACTATAAACTTATTATATATGTAATAGGCTAAATGTTTTAAATCTATTTTAAACTGAATTGATAATTAAATGATATGACATGATTTTATTATTATTAAAAATTTTAAGAATATATGTAAACACTTTATATATTTTTGGTTTATACTTTTTTAATATTGTTTGTAATTTTTATTAAGTATTTTTTTTAAGGTAAAAGCTCTCACCAATCATGGGTTAAATCATGGTGAATGGACTGAATGGGTAAATGAAACAACTTTTGAAGGAAGTAAGATCACGGTTTATGATGATCATTATTCACAATTTTGATAATAATTAATAACTTATTGTAATTTTAAAATATTTTTTATTACATTAGTTTTCATTGGTTATTAACTTGTTTATTATATTATTCAACATTATTAACAATAACATTGTTGCTGTTATGATCAATCAATTAATTGATTATTTATAAATAATTACATTGTTATTAAAGAACGATGTAATTGTTAATTAGCAATCACTTAATTGATTGATCATAACAATAACACAGTAGATGTTAATAAGCAACCAATTAGTTCATTGCTGCTATTCATACTGTTGTTTATTTTTTTAGTCCCAAGTGTTCCAGAAGATCTTATTGGTTATGCTAGCTCTACTAGAAGTATTACATTAAAATGGACAAAACCAAGGCAACTAAATGGCATTGTTCGAAGTTACACTGTATTCACTTTTTTGGTTTATACTAATAATAATAACTATGATAATAGTTATAGTAAAAATAGAAATAATATTTATAATATTAAATTAATTATCAAAATTTAAATTAATTTTAAAAAAATGTTTATTTTGATTAAAAAAAATGACTTTATCATAATTAGAAATAATTGTTTTTAGAGAAAAATCTATTTAAGTATTTTCTTGAATGTTTTGTTTGCAATAAATATAGAATATAAAATTTTTTTCAATTTGTTATTCTTTTAAATTGTTAAAATTATATATTTATATAAAATTATATAAGTTAAAATTATATATTTCAATTTTCTTTTATTAAATGAGGGTTATCAAAAATACCTTATGAAAGGTTTTCATTTATCTTTTTCATTTTATAGCTTGTTTATAGTGGTTTTAAGGCTTATAGTTTATCTTTTAAACACACTGGAGAAATAGTTGTGTACTCTACTAAAGTAACAATTTCATCACTTTATCCTGGTACAAATTACACAATTTGTTTAAATGCAGAAACTATTGTTAAAGGTCCATCATCCATGATTAATATTACATTGCCCTATGATGGTTTGATTCTTTTATTTATTGTTTTTCTGGATTTTTTTTTTTTACATAGGGTAAAGTAGTCTAATAACGAGACCCTTTAACATTTTGTTGATTATCATATAAATATTACATTTTTGAAAAAAATTTTTTTTTTTAAAGTAGTATGAGCTGTAGAAATATCATAGATTTTTTTCGCTATTCATAATGCAAAAATTTTATTAAAAATGAATCATATTTTATTAAATCGTACTTTGATTAAATGAACTTTTTATTACAAATAATTATAATCTTTATAAAATTTAATTGCTTTTGATAAATGGTGTACACCCTTCTTTGCAAATACTCTCTGTTTTAACTGTTTTTATAATATTGCACTTTTAATCTAGTGTTTCGATTTACATTTTAGTGACCTTTTCTTTCTCAATAACCAGATTTAAATCCTCTGTTTTCCATTTTACCCTAATAGTTATTTCTTTCAGTTGTGAACAAATAACAACAACAAAAGTACATTTCAAAAAAAACGGTATTTCCTAAACAGTCATTTTTGCTCTAGCTTATGCAATTAGCACAGCAACTTAAATAATTTAAATATATGTATTTTTTGTTTTATTTTTTAATCTTCAACATTAAATAACAGTAGTTTACAGTAAATTTGAGAGCAGAAACATTAAATAATAGTAAATTACAGGCTTTGAGAGCAATTAAGACACATTTATACAAAACCTCAATATCGAAAATCATAATTAAACATGTGTATTAGCTAATTGCTGGTTTTACTGCCCAGAATACCATGTTTTATGTAAAATCGTCTTGTTAGTTTACATTGTGAACATATTTTTTAAAATCTGTTAATGCATTGCATATATGAAATAACTAAAGTAGCAATAAAGCATTTTTTTTTTATTTTGATTATTTTGAATTATTATATATATTATTCAAGCCAATCAATGTTTAATCAAATTTATTTATTGTATTATATATAATTAATCAATTCAGTACTTACTTGATCAATGATTAAAAAATATTGGTTTAAAATCATGCTCTCTACACTGTATAGAATAAATGTGAATGACTCAAACCTATATAAAATGGACAAAAGGTCACAAGATATGATGTTTAAATTAAGAAATGATTTATCTAAGTAGTTCGGACATTGGTTCCTAAATGGCATCACTAAATAATCATTAAGCCAACTTTGAAAAATGAAATAGCATTATAAGCCCCTGGCATTATTAGACAACTTTACCCTATATTTTACTGCATATCAAATAGTTTAAGAAATTAAATTTAAAAATTTATTATATTTTGCGATTATAAATAATATAATAAATAATGATAAATGCATTAAGATATAACAATCAATAATAGAATTTTTAAAATAATGTAATGTCTTTATTATTAATAAATAATAGTAGTAATGAAATTAACATTTAGTTTTTCCGTTTTTTTAGAGATTTTTCTAATATTTTTTATACATATATTTTTTAATAAATAGATTTTTGGTTAATGTAAATAACTAAAAATGACATTTTTGTCCTATTTGTTTCATTTATAAATTTTTTAAAAATTAAAAAAAATTTATACATAAAAAAGATCACAAAGGTGTTTCTTTTTTTCTTCTTCTGCAGCTAAATATGTAATCATAAAATTTCAAAGAGTCATACTATTAAACTTCATCAATGTTATGTTAGATTCACCATGTTAAACTTGGTTTTTAATTTTTTTAACTTTAACATTTAATTATAATTTTTTTTTAAGAAAACTTTTATAGAGTATTGACTAAGTTAGTAATTATATTATAAATTTTACTTATATTTACATAAATATGTTTGAGTAGAATTTTTTCTTATTTTTTGTACTAAAAAATAAATGTTTATTTAAATTTTAAAATGCATTTTTTTATCATTAAGAGCCACTTGCTCCTTTATTGAAACTTGAAAATCAGAATTCAGAACAAAGAACCATTGTTTTACATTCAGTACCGAGTTTTACTGGGCCAATCAGGTTAGATTTTTTTCTGCATTTATTAAGTTAGTTGTAAATATATATCTCAGAACATATTATGGTATACAATCTTAATTGCATAAAAAGGTCAAACACAAATTGTTAAAAAAATCTAATAAAATCATAACACTATACTTTGTAATAAATGAACAAATAACCACTTATACTCATTTCCATTTTTTTTTATATTCATTTATAATTTTCTTTGCATCTACTTTAACTATGCATTATTATATTAAAAACTCCTAAATAGTTTATATAGCTTTGAACTATATACTGTTTATAATAAATATTTTTATAATTATGTACTATTAAAAATGAATTTGATATTTAACCGAGCCAGCACTTATAATAAACATTTTGGTCAGGATTTTATGAAAACTGATAAAACTGGATTCTCTCATTGGAAAAAAAGTTGCAACCGTAAATTACATGTAAAAAACGTTTAAATTTTTAAAAATAATGCATGTGTCTATAAGTATTGGCACAGCCGAAACACCATATATAAATGAACAATATGGAAAATAGATTTAATAAATAAAGTAATAATATTAATAAATGATAAACAATAATAATAATAATATTAGTGATAAATATAATAATACATGTAATCAGTATTGTTTCAAAATAATATTTAAATTTATATAAATTTGATTTTTTTTTATCATTTAATTTTTATATTTATTATTAATTTTATTTTATTCTTAGTCGTTAAATTATTTTCAAGTTGTTTTAATCATTATTAAATTAGCCATTATGAATTTGACATTCAAGAAAATTCCAATAACTGTTTAAATAACAGTAACACAACAATCAAGTTTCTATCTACACTTGAACAGAATCAGCTTGTAATTACTAAAAGTGAAGAAAATATTACATTCCAGTCCACCTACATTCAATTAAGTTTGATAGGAAAGTTTTGTATATGTTATCGAGCTGTGATTAACGACAGTGTAAGTTGCATTAAGAGTTTTTCTTATATACTTAATTATTTTATTACTTTAGAATAAAAATAGAGTTTCAAGGTAAGCTTTTATTTATATAACAATATTTTAACATAAATCTTTAAATTTAAATGATTCAGGTTTTTTTTGTTTTATTATCTATTATTATTATTACTTGAACTATTATAAAATTGCTGTTAAGTTGTTTTTAACCATTAATAAATTATTTAGCCACTATAAGTTTGACATTATAGTGGTATATTGTATATTGACAAGTATATTGACAAGGTTTTTGCGGGCCCACACGCCCGTAAAAACCTTGAGGAGTACATAAAAAAGCGCTTGCTGAAATATTAAAAGTATTTTGTTTTAAATTGCAACACTTTTTTGTTCATTTGTTCAAATTTTATAAATGAGGCCTTCTTTTACCAGTTTTTTTTTCAATTATTTTATCTATTATTTATTCAAAAAAAATTTTTTTCGCTATTTTTATTTTATTTTAACACAGAAAAATATTTTTTTTAGTTGCGCAGGCTAACTCAATATTAACCATCCTGCCAACGCTTTTTTGTGCGCTGGTATTAAATTTTATACGGAGAAGACTGTTAATGCCATTTTTACTATTTTTTGTGTACAAGGAAAAACTGTTATTCTTCTTTATCTTTCAAAATACATTATTTAAACAGCCATTAGTTTCTAATGTGTCATTTATTCAAATTGTCTTAAAATATAAGCATTTATTTTATAATTTAAAAATGTTGAAATTTATTGTTTAAAAGCAATATCAGTAGTATTTGTGGGTGGACTATCTACAAAACATAAGAAGTGAAATTGAAAGTCCATTCATTCAAAGTTTATCCATTCATTCAAAGTCCTAATAATTATTTGCTCTAATAGTTTAAAAAAAAAATTAAAATTTTATATACTTTGTATACTTTTATATACTAAAAAATTCCCAAGATTTTTTACAAAAGTTAAGGAATCAAAAACAGTTTTTTCTTGTAGAGCAAATGTTTTATTTCTTCATTTTCTAAGTAATAATAAGGTTTTAAAAAAAGTGCCATAAAAACATTAAGCAAATCTAAAATTAAAAAGTGCTTTAATTTTAGAAAAAATCAATAAACGATATGGTTTTAATAAGCTTGGAATAGGTGGGAAAGTTTCCAAAAATAATAAACGTCCTCTCCCATGAATAAAGCATGCAAAAGTAACCATTTTAGTCTTTAATGATGTTTGCTATCTATATTTAAAATTTTAAATGCAAAAGCATAAGATTAAATATTAACACACGTAATAATTAAAAAATTTCGTTTTTTGACAAACTTTATTGCCTATTTTTTAATTTACATCACTTGAAAATTGCAAAAGTTATTTTACTTAAATTTTCTTTATAAAAAAAGTAAAATATATCACCAGCGATAAATTAAAGATGCTCTATTTCCAGAGTAAAATAAATTAGAATATGCAGTAAAATACATGGTTAAAGTCTATTTTACAACGATGTGTTTTTTATCATTTGACATTAAAATATTTTTTTATAATTAAGTTACTTTATAATATTTTTTAACAAACTTTCATATGTAAAAGATTGATAAAAACAAGATTGAAAAACCTTTTTAGTTGCATAAGCTTTTATAATTGCACAGTACATTATTTATTCACACACTCATTAAATGACACACACAAGCTTCATTTAAAATTCATGTATATATATATATATATATATATATATTTATATATATATATATATATATATATATATATATATATATATATATATATATATATATATATATATATATATATATATATATATATATATATATATAAACAGCCAGTAGTTTCTAATGACACATAGAAACTACTGGCTGTTTTATAACTAGTTCACACCAAGACTGAGACTGCATACAACCACTACGAATACCACTAAGAATATTCTTGAGACCACTAAAAGCAAGAAAACTTGACAGTTGACTAAAATAAATGTGAATTATGTTAAAATACTATGAAGAGGGAGAGAGTATTAATTCATTGATGAAAAGAAACTAGTTAAAGTTGGTGCATAAATGGAAAAATATAGTAAAAAGATGCAGTTGAATGATAAGTCAAGCAAGAATTAGTTTTGATTTATGGCCCAAGTATGCTAGCTTAATTAAGATGTAATTTTGTAAGAAAAGAGAAAGAGGTACAACAATATAGCATTGTGAATGGCTTAAGCTTGGTAGATAAAGCAGGTCCAACTACATTTACAATAAGTTTTTAGATCTTGTCTAGATAAGAAATCATAGGAAGAACCAGCCCAAATATGGCAACATTATTCAATACAAGAAGGAATAAAAGATTTGTTGAGGTGTAGAGATTTGTAGAGGTGCAGAGATTTGTTGAGGTGTAGAGATTTGTTGAAATGCAGAGATTTGTTGAAATGTAGAGATTAGTTAAGGTGTAGAGATTTTTTGAGGTGTAGAGATTTGTTGAAATGCAGAGATTTGTTGAAATGTAGAGATTTGTTAAGGTGTAGAGATTTGTTGAGGTTTAGAAATTTGTTGAGATGTAGAGATTTGTAGAGGTGTAGAGATTTGTTGAGGTGTAGAGATTTGTAGAGGTGTAGAGATTTGTAGAGGTGTAAAGATTTGTTGAGATGTAGAGATTTGTTGAGGTGTAGAGATTTGTAGAGGTGTAGAAGTTTGTTGAGATGTAGAGATTTGTTGAAGTGTAGAGATTTGTTGAGGTGTAGAGATTTGTAGAGGTGTAGAGATTTGAGAGATTTGCGTTAAAAAAACTTGTAAAAAAATTAATAAGCTTTGTCAGCATCTTAGGAATTTTGGAATTGTGTCCAGTTTACTTTGCATAAATAATTTTTTCACTATTGAATTCATTAATCTTTTTTTTTTTTTTTTTTTCATTATTACTTTATTAATTTTTTTTCTTAAAAAAAAAATCAGATACGAAAATGGCAAATGGTACTAATAGTCTGAAAATTTGAAAGCCAGAAATTTTTCTGGAGTTTTCAATTTGCGATCATTTAATTTGCCCCTTTAGTCTAACACTTGTTAACTCGTACGTTTATTATCTCGAACTGTTTCATTTGGTCCCTTATATTGTCTAATTGTTAACTTTTCTGGTTAAGTCGAACCTTGGTTAACTCAAACTTCGTTAATTCAAACCATTTTTCTGTCCCTTTTTATCAAATTTCTTTACTCAAACTTTTTGTATGGGAAGACATGGACAAAATTCAAAATTTTAAAAAAAAGAAGTCATTTCATATAAAACATAAATAACTATAGCATAATATTTTCTTTATTTTTTGGCTGTATTTAAATCTGAAAATATTCGTAATTTTCTTAACAGTTTACAATTTTCACTTGAGTAGAAATCAGACTAATATGGAACCTTTTATTCCCTCTTGGCAAATCCAAGTCAAGCCTCACTCTTTTCCATGATTTTTCTCTCATTGTGTTGCTGCAATTTCTAATCATAACCATTGTGCAACCGTGGCGCAGTGGTTAGAGTGCTTGCTTTAGAAGCAGGATATCGAGGTTCGAAATGAGCTCTGGACATAATTATGCGTCACAGTAAGGAAGGAGGCGTGAACTTCCTAGTTAAATGTACATTCACGGTGCTCTGTGACAAGACCGATAAGTTTTTTTGAGGCCCCTAAATAGCAAAAATAAAAATGATTACTTGCATATCTATCAGCAAAACAGTTCTCTAGAAAACACGCGTCTGTTTATTATTGCTCGAAATTATTGTAAAAAGATTTTGTCTAATGCCACAGCCCGCTATACTCAGGTCAAAAAGTTTCGTATTTCATCACAAAAATTAGGCTCTTGTGACTTATGGAGAACCTTTAACAGTGTCTATAGTAAGAGCAAACATGTTATTTTACCTCTCTTGTATGGTTCAGATTTTGTCACCTCACCTAAAGACAAAGCTGAATTGTTTGCTAAGAACTTCTCATCAATATCATCTTTTGATTCCACTAGTTAAGTTCTATCTATATAGCAGACAAACAGGCTTATCCAATGCTTGAAGTTCGTATCACTTCAGCTTCTTTATCTAAAGTGATTTCCTGCATACAGCATACCTGTTATAGTCTTGCAGAAGTGTTTTCTAGAGCTGTTGTCAATACTTTCAAAACTGTTTATCAAAAGTGTTTATCAGAGTTCTACTGCTGTTTTGTTAGCACTAATAACAGATAGGTTTTAATGTGCATTCGATAGATGTGGAGAAGTTAAGGCTATTGCTCTCGACATTTCTTAAACCTTTGATAAAGTTTGTCATTCTATATGCTTTCTTTTCACAATGTATCTGGTAACATCTTTAAGTTTATCGAATCCTTCCTTACCAATCATAGTATAAAAGTTAACCTTTAAAAATGTCAAGAGCGATGGCTTTAACCTCTCTACCTTTATCTAATGCACTATAAAACCTATTGGTTATTACTGTTAACAAATCAGACGTACAACGAGAAGATAGAAATCCATATTGATGATCAGAAAGAACAATGCCACCTTAGATGTGAGAATATCTGGAAGTTCGCTAATGTAAATTAAAAAGAGTATAGGGCCAAAGATTGAACCTTGAGGAACCCCTGAGGTTACAGAATAAGAAGAAGAGTGCTGTCCATTAAGGTCAAATTTTATACTACAATTGGAAAGGAAGGATTCACTAATCTTAAAGATGTTTCCAGATACACCGTTAGTTGATAGCTTATGGAGAAGGCCAGCATGCCAAACTCTATCAAACGTTTTAGAGTTTTTTATCTAATGCACAATAAAATCTATTGGTTATTACTGTTAGCAAGTCAGCCATAGAACGAGAAGATCGAAATCCATATTGATGATCAGAAAGCAAGTTATTAGATTCAAGATGAGAGATTAACTGTTTGTTAATTAAAAGTTCAAAAACCTTGCTTATGATAGAAAGAAAACTAATGGTGCGGTAATTAGACAAATCAGATTGCTCTCCAGAATTTTTAAAAATAGGGATAACAGATGCTGCTTTCTAGC